GTGTGTGTGTGTGTGTGTGTGTGTGTGTGTGTGTGTGTGTGTGTGTGTGTGCGCGCGCGCGCAACATGCGTTTGCATAGTCTAAGTTTAAGTTAGCGGCTTTTGGCCCCTTTCCCCGACCCGGACAGCAGTAGCCTAAGGAGGAGTAAGTCATGAGCAGCAGTAGAAGGGCTGCAGAAAGAGTCTGGAGCCCAGAGGAGGTGGAAAAGGAGGTGAGAGGGTGAGCACAGAATTTTAAAGTGGAGACGAAAGCAGACGACAGACAGAACATTGCTACAGGGCAGGAAATTTAACGCCCCTTTTAATGCTTATGTTATTCAAGAAACCTCTTAATTTAACGTTCGTTCCTATCCGGTTGGAACGAGCCAAATGGATAAGGAGCCTTAATAAACAAGTTACGTGTCATCTGGCGTGAGACAAGGGTGTGTTATCACCGCTACTATTCATAATATACATGAACGAAATTACAAAAGAAGCAAACCCAAACCCGATGGACCTAAATGAGATGCTGTTTGCGGACAATGAAAGGCTGGCATATGAGAAAGACGAGCAATTTCAAGAGCACACAGACAGACAGAATACACAATGTGAAAAGCTCAATATTGAAGATCAGTAAAATCAAAACGGAGGCGATGGAAATCAATAGAACACCTGGCAACCTTAACATCACCATCGACGGAAATCCGCTGAAAGTGAAACAAATCAGCGAGTTCAAATATCTTGGTAGCATCTTTTCGGAAGATGAGCACCCTAACATCCCCATTGAGACCAAAGCCAAGCTCATAAAGTCTATCTTCATCCCCACTTTGACCTACCAATGCCAGACATGGACCCTGACCAAAAGCCTACAACGTAAGACAACCACCTGCGAGATGAGATGTCTAAGGAGAGCTGTCAACAAAACCAGACGGCACATGGTCAGAAACAACAAGATCAGAGAAAGGGTGAGAACAGCACCTGTCCTCCACTACATTCGAAGGCAAACAATCGGATGGTTTGGACATCTCACATGTATGGCACCTCACCAGCTTGCCAGTAAAGCCAACTGAAGGAAAGTATCAGGGTACAAGGCAAGAGGAAGACCAAGAAAGACCTGGATCCAAGGTGTGAAGAATACACCAAGAACATACAATATTACACCCAACCAGGCCATCAAACTTGCAAGAGACAGGGAGCTCTTTTTGCCCTCGACTCCCTAGAGGTACAAGAGGATGGATAAAGTAAAGTAAAGTAATAAACAAGTTTACAAATCAACCCACGTTTAGAGCGCCCTGTTGAGAGTTGGAACTAGGGCCACTCCCTGTATAGTCCAGTACGACACCAACTGAGCTGACGGTGAGTCCATAGATGATTCAGCTTGCACGAGGTAAAAAAAAAAAAGAATTTGAGGTTACATGTGCTTCTCCAAGAAAATTAGTGTCGGTGCATTATTTTGCGCCTATATTTCGCCAGGAATGTAGCTCTGGTGATTTTGTTAGCTTTTGTATGGTTTTCATCATCATCATTACCTTTCTCACCCTGCTCCAGGATAGGCCACGAACAAACACATTCCGCCTTTCTCTATCCTGGGCTTGCCTCTTGATTTTATTTCATGTCTTACAACTTTTCTGTACTTCAGTGTATGTGATTCTTCTCCATGTTCCACGCAGTCTTCCCCTTGATCTTTTACCCTGTGGATTCCAAACCAACACTTTCTTTGTTATGCAGCTGCCTCAGTTCCTGAGGGTATGTTCAATCCGTCGCTACCGCCTTCTTCCTACCTCGTCTCTGACTGGGACCCGTTTTGTTTTCCTTAACATTTCCACGTTGGTGACCCTGTCTGTCAATCTGATCCTCATTAACGTTCTTAGACACTTGTTCAAGAAAACTTACCTAGATTGTCCTAGATCCTCTTTATGCAAGTATGAGATGCGTTCCATGTCTCACATCAACACAACAGGACTGACTTCACATATGAATTGAAACTCCTCAGCTTTGTTCGAAGTGGGATATCCCTCTGGTCTTCCAAATTATATTCAAAGATATAAAAGCAGCCTTTGCGTTTCCAATGAGGGACTTTATTTCAGCACCTGTTCCCCCCTCTCTGTGAATTATACTCCCAAGATAGCAGAAGGATTCAACGTCGTTTAGTGCATTTCCTCCTTCTACTGTGACCTGCTTCTTCCGTTGTGCTCCTGTCCTTAGGACTATTGACTTTCCAGGGTGAATCCTCAATCCAACAGACTCTAATAGGCTGTTTAATGTTGAAGTCTTTGCTTGCATCTGTTCCTGGGTGTGCTACAGAAGCGCCAAGTCGTCCGCAAAATCCAGATCGCCCAACAGTGTCCATGGGGTCCACTGTCTACCATTTATGTGTCCTCCTGAAGTGGTTTCCTTCATCGGCCAATCGACCGCCAATATGAAGAGGAAAGGTGATTGTTTGTATGGTTGTAATATTCACGTTAACATTTTTTTTAAAAGTTGTGGCATTGTCTAATACCGTAGGCCCTATATGTAGAATCAAGTGTAGGTCAATAACAGTGAAGCAGACGTACACACACACACACACACACACACACACACACACACACACACACACACACACACACACACACACACACACACACACACACACTCACACACACACATACACACTGTATGTGTGTTAAAAATAGCCCAAATTTCGTGAAAGGGATCAATGAAAGAGTGTGAGGACGTGGAAATGGAGGGAGGGGAGGGATATATAAGCAATATATGTGCCACATCAATGTGACAAGCACTGTGCAGCGTTCTATTTTTTTTTAGTTAGGGTTACTGCTGAGCCTCATGGGACACAACACGGTTACCTTAAATTTACGGAAGGCTCTACTCAGATGTACCTTACTTTTCCCGACCTCTATTGCCTTAGAGGCGGAGCCCATTGGCAATGTCGGTTCGGTTCGGTTCGGTTTCAGGAGGGGGAAAACCGATGATGACCTTCAATAACAATTACCTTCAAGGTCGCATGTTGGACAATCGAATCGGTTTGGGCAGTTGGTTT